CATCCTCCTCAACAGATCATTGGAGATATTCAATCTGGTGTTCGCACAAGGAGTGCAAAACAGAATCTAGAAGCTATGCTTGCTTGTTTCATCTCACAAGTGGAACCAAAGAATATTGAAGAAGCTCTAGCTGATTCTGATTGGATCAATGCAATGCAAGAAGAACTCAACCAATTTTCCAGAAATGACGTCTGGAAACTTGTTCCCAGACCTACTCATCAACATGTCATTGGGACAAAGTGGGTCTTCCGGAACAAGATGGATGAAAACGGCGTTTGATAAGTCCGTTTCGTTCTTATCATTTACATCATATTCTAAACGTTATTGCACGTAAATAATATTTAATCATCTCATAAAATGTGATTTTGATGGATAAAACTCTCATTTTCGTTCTAAGAGTCATAAATATGGATTCCACATAAAATCATCATAAATTATCCATTTTATGTTCAAATACTTGAGAAAAAGGGTATGAATCATCAAAGGATCAAGATTCGGGCTTGAACGAGCTTCCGGGAAGATAAAGTCGCCGTTCGGGCCGAAAACCAGCGAAATTGGGCCAAGATCTTGCATCAGCCGCGAAGCCCAAACGGACCAGGGCCTAAGGCGTCCAACTTGGACGCTTGGCCAAGTTGGACGCTTGGGAGTTGGACGCTTGGGCTAGATTGCAATCCAAGAAAGACACGTGGCGAAATCTGGTTGGCCGGAGCAGCTCAAGCGTCCCGGTCTGGACGCTTGGACTTGGACGCTTTGACTTGGACGCCTTGGATTCGTTCCTATAAATACAGCACGATTCTTCTCATTTTTATCATCCAACTTCATCCCAACTTCGGGATTTACTCTTTCATCTCCATTATAGTTTGTAGTATAGTTGTAGTAGTTAGTTTTGAAGTATTTTCGGAGGTTTTGACTCCAGATCTGTTCTGTTCCTCTTTTACGGAGGTTGTAAGTTTTCTTTATTTAATAAAATGCTGTTTTAATTTATGTTTGCATAGTATGAGTTAGGGTCCGGATCTCTGGGTCCGGACTACTTTAGTTGTTTATTTTTTATGTTAAATTAATGTTGGAGTGGTTAATTTATTGTTATTGCCTTATGTAGTTAATTAATTTCGAAAGATTTAATTAACTATTTATTGAGAAAATATTGTATGCCAAAAGGCTATGATATTCAAGTGCAACGGATTAAGTACAAATCTACAAATGGATGAGTAGTAATTGAAATATTATTATTCAAACTACTAATTTAATATGATAAAATAGATCCAAATGATGTCCAGACCCTAGGACCAGATCCATACTTATACTATGTAAACTTAATTTATTATTTTTACTCTGCTCCCTTTTTATAATCGATTCGAGAAGACTTTCATAAACCAATCCTAATCTTCACCTAATTAGATTAATTAAACTAGTTCCCTTCGTCCACTCCTCGAGAGATACGACACTCAGAGAGAAAACTAACCCTTTACTGGGAAGGTTTACTACCCGAAAAACTACAACTGTCAAATGGCGCCGTTGCTGGGGAGTGGAACGATCTTCTCACTTCTTTTTCACCAGCCACCTGTAATAATTATTATGGATAACTCCAGTGGGGACGGTCCGCCCTCTTTCTACCAATCACCCAACCGCCCTCCATACCAAACCCATCCACCTTACCACCCACATCAAAACTCATATGATGACGACTACCAAGTCAACAATGGGTCTGACTACTATCCCTGCCATGAGGAACCCCCATATGATAACCCATCTAGGAGCTTTGGATATTCTCTGTACCAAGACGCTGATGGGGAAAATTATTATGAACCTCATGGTGGTCACAGTGACTATGACCACAATGGGCCTATGTACGACGATCAACCTGATCCACTCGTCGAAGAAATCATAAGATTAGAACAGAAAAGTTTCTATTTCGACGAACTTTTATTTGCTGAAGGCTCGTGGTACGAACCACCCTACTCCCATGACTACACTTTGTTTGCTGAAGAACAAATTGAAGCAAACAAGGTGGCAATTCGAGAAAGAGCAAAACTTCTCGAATCAGTCCGGAAAGAAAAGGAGTTCGAACGCAGATTATGCGAAGGATCAGATATGATGCAGAAAATGCTAGATGACTTCCAAAGAGAGAGACTAGAAGCTGAGGCTAAAGCTGATAAATTAGTCAATGATCTCTGCAAGGCTGTTGAACTTAAACGCTCCCTCCAATCTCAAGATCAAATGAGGGAGATTAATGTTCAAAAAGAGGCTCTAGAACCCAAGACCAACCTTGAACCCATCAACCAACAGGTCCCTGTTCTAGAAGATTCACCTAATTCCGCACCATCACAGAAACCCGAGAGCATAACAACTCTCGCTAGGGCTACTATGGTGATGTTACCTGAATCTCTTCCTAGCCAAGTCCCAACTAGCATAGTTGTACATGAGGTGGAACCAACTGAGGGACTTGACTCAGAACCACCTACGCTCGTTCAAGAAAAGAAGGAGGAGGAAGTTTTGCTTACGGCAATAAACGACCATCTCCTTAATTGTGTTGAAGACAAACCTCCAGAGGAACCTGTTCTGGAGGAGATAGAGCCCACTACCTACCCCCAAGATTCCAACGTTCAAGAGTCTGAGGAGGAATATATAGACGAAGAAATACCTAGCACAGAGGAACCAATAACGTCTATAGATAATCATGCTTCATCAGAAGACTTAGACCAAACTTTCTTTGACTCCTTACTTGACGGGTGTGACCTTGTCTGCCTGAAGGATAGTTGGATCCAAAATAGTTGGGATGAACTTCTGGTAAGTGACACTGAAGACTCTTCCTTGGGGGAGGGTACGATCATAATCATTCAGCCACAAACAGATAGTCAACCCATTGAAGACAAGGAAGAGATCAGTCTTGCTATGAAGGCCAATGATGTGGATCAATTGAAGAGACCTCCGCCCCCACCCACTTATACAAAGTCTCCTCCATATATCCTGTTGCCACCAAGCCGCAGGGATGAGTCAAGGATCCTAGACCTTGACCGAGCAATAACGAGGTGGTATCAGAAGAGAGTCAAAAAGGTCAAACTTTATGACTCTCGGATCGGAAAGTCACGGAAAAAGTGGGTGAGCGTCAAGCTACGGACGTTAAAGAAGCGCTTAACAGGAGGCAACCCGTCATTCAAATAACTAAAATAAATAAATAAATTCAATAGTTTTATTTGTTAGTTTTTGAGGTTATGCTTGTCGCACCATTTTTGGGGGCAAGAGTTATTTTGTTTGTTGTCTTTGCTTTTGCAGATGAGAGAATTGTAGGGCATACCTTACAGTGGGAGCGAAGAAGAGGTCTCACCTGGGGAAAACACAAGGTTTCTACAACCTTCGAGGCTTCTTGATCCAATAGTCCTGGTTGAAGTTGGCTACTAAGAGAATACTGACTTTATCAGTAAATTCTCTTTTTCTCTACTATTTTGAACATGATTTGGATCCTTGATTGATTTTTATTTTGGAATTTCACATTATGACTCTTAAACCCATTTTTGAGAAAATTTTATGCATTATTTCATATTTACATGTTATGATTATCTATTGTTTCAATCTTCATCGTTGAATCTTGTAAGTATTGAGATAACTTAGTAATTGCATGTGAGCATTTCAACCATTAACTCTAATTCCAAAATACTATTAACCACGAGGGCGTGGTTCCGTTTAAGTGTGAGGAGGTAAGAGTTCGTGGTTGAAATGATCTTTTTAGGAATTGTTTTGTCTATATATTTTTAGGAAAAGATTTTTATAGAATAGACATCAATCTTAATTTTTTGATTAATTAATCTTTAGTTATCACCCATAAAAATTGGAAATTTTTAAATTTTTATCAAACTTCTATTTCTACTCTAACCTTTTTGGAATGTTTTCTAAAATGATTTGGGATAAATTCACAATTTATTAAGAGTTTTTTTTTAGATCAATTAATTTTTAAGTACTTTATTGAAAATCTTTTTGCTGATGCTCTTATGAGTATTAGTTGTTTCTTAAAAAAGAGTTATTTTCAAAGTATAAGGGGTGACATTACAAAACATACTTTGGTGAGACCGAGATTCTTGTTTTAGCCAAAAAGCAATTGGTTCTATGTCAATTGATGAGGCGTGGTGAGTATGCCGAAAAGCACGTGGTTCTATATTGCGTGATGAGGCCTTTTGAGTGTTTGAGTCAAAAAGCATGCGGTTCTATGTCGTGTGATGAGACTTTCCAGAGTGAATATCCAAAAAGCTCGTGGTTACATGTCACGGGATGAGGTTATAATTTTTCTCGTGTCAACATGACAAAGTTATGCCAAAGAAAATTAAACCCTTACACTTTGACAAATTCTTTTGCAAGAACATGTTTTCCAATTTAGTCATAAAAAAATTATTTGATCTTTAAAGTACTCTTACGAATGTAGTTATCCCAAAGAAAGTTTGGAAAATTTTGGTTGTTTAGGTTGGTGTAAAAATATTGGTTTGACAAAATTCTTTTACATTTCTAACAATATGGGTGAGAATCTAAAGGTTCATTTATTCTTAACAAAAAGGTTGATGACTATGTTATTTCTTCTTTCCTTCATAATATGTAGCTTAAACCTTGCCTCTGCAATTATTAATTTGTCTTTATACATGTAATTATTCAATTTGTTGCTTGAGGGCAAGCAACGTTTAAGTGTGAGGAATTTGATAAGTCCGTTTCGTTCTGATCATTTACATCATATTCTAAACGTTATTGCACGTAAATAATATTTAATCATCTCATAAAATGTGATTTTGATGGATAAAACTCTCATTTTCGTTCTAAGAGTCATAAATACGGATTCCACATAAAATCATCATAAATTATCCATTTTATGTTCAAATACTTGAGAAAAAGAGTGTAAATCATCAAAGGATCAAGATTCTGGCTTGAACGAGCTTCCGGGAAGATAAAGTCGACATTCGGGCCGAAAACCAGTGAAATTGGGCCAAGATCTCGCATCAGCCGCGAAGCCCAAACGGACCAGGGCCTAAGGCGTCCAACTTGGACGCTTGGGAGTTGGACGCCTGGGCTTGATTGCAATCCAAGAAAGACACGTGGCGAAATCTGGTTGGCCGGAGGAGCTCAAGCGTCCCGATCTAGACGCTTGGACTTGAACGCTTTGACTTGGACGCCTTGGATTCGTTCCTATAAATACAGCACGATTCTTCTCATTTTTATCATCCAACTTCATCCCAACTTCGGGATTTACTCTTCCAATCTCCATTATAGTTTTTAGTATAGTTGTAGTAGTTAGTTTTGAAGTATTTTCAGAGGTTTTGACTCCAGATCTGTTCTGTTCCGCTTTTACGGAGGTTGTAAGTTTTCTTTATTTAATAAAATGCTGTTTTAATTTATGTTTGCATAGTATGAGTTAGGGTCCGGATCTCTGGGTCCGGACTAGTTTGGTTGTTTATTTTTTATGTTAAATTAATATTGGATTGGTTAATCTATTGTTCTTGCCTTATATAGTTAATTAATCTCGAAAGATTTAATTAACTATTTATTGAGAAAATATTGTATGCCAAAAGGCTATGATATTCAAGTGCAACGGATTAAGTACAAATCTAGAAATGGATGAGTAGTAATAGAAATATTATTATTCCAACTTCTAATTTAATATGATAAAATAGATCCAAATGATGTCCAGACCCTAGGACCAGATCCATACTTATACTATGTAAACTTAATTTATTATTTTTACTCTGCTCCCTTTTTATAATCGATTCGAGAAGACTTTCATAAACCAATCCTAATTTTCGCCTAATTAGATTAATTAAAATAGTTCCCTTCGTCCACTCCTCGAGAGATACGACACTCGGAGAGAAAACTAACCCTTTACTGGGAAGGTTTACTACCCGAAAAACTACAACTGTCAGCGTTGTTGTCAGAAACAAAGCCTGGTTGGTTGCCAAAGGATCTTGTCAAGAAGAAGGTATAGATTTTGATGAAACCTTCACTCCAGTTGCTAGACTTGAAGCTATAAGGTTGTTTCTGGCCTTTGCTGCTCATAAGGACTTCAAAGTCTATCAAATGGATGTCAAAAGCGCATTTTTCAACGGAAACCTCGAGGAAGAAGTTTATGTGGAACAACCTCCAGGATTTGAGTTACACACTAAGGGAGATCAAGTGTATAGACTCAAAAAGGCGCTGTATGGACTCAAACAAGCTCCAAGAGCTTGGTATGATACATTGTCTCAATTCCTTATAGACAATGGATTTACCAAAGGAGTCATTGACAAGACATTGTTCAAACTACAAGATGGAGAAGATCTCCTATTAGTCCAAATCTATGTGGACGACATCATATTTGGCTCAACTAAGGAAGATCTCTGCACCAAGTTCTCCACCCGCATGCAAGGAAAATTTGAGATGAGCATGATGGGGGAACTCAATTACTTCCTTGGTCTTCAAATCAAACAGAGAAGTGAAGGGACTCTCATCAACCAAGCCATGTACACAAGGGATCTTATCAAGAAATTCAAAGTTGATCAGAAGTCATCCGTTTCTATCCCCATGAGTACATCCACCAAGCTTGATTCGGATCTCTACTCTACCTTACTGCAAGCCGTCCGGATATTTCATATGCAGTAGGCGTTTGTGCCAGATTCCAATCAAAGCCAAAGGAAAGTCATCTGATAGCAGCTAAAAGAATTCTTAGATACCTCAAAGGAACTCAGAACATGGGTTTGTGGTATGCTAAAAGTAATTCATTTAAGTTAGTAGGATACTCAGATTCTGACTTTGCCGGATGCAAAGTTGACCGGAAAAGTACATCTGGTACTTGTCATGTCATTGGTGGAAATCTTGTTTCTTGGTTCAGTAAGAAACAAAACTCCATTTCTATATCAACAGCAGAAGCAGAATACATTGCTGCTGGTAGTTGTTGTGCTCAAATTCTGTGGCTGAAGCAACAACTACTGGACTATGGAGTCAAGACAAAGGAAGTGACAATCTTTTGTGACAATCAAAGTGCTATAGCCATATCTCAAAACCCAGTGCATCATTCTCGCACTAAGCACATTGATGTCAAGCATCACTTCATTAGAGATCATGTGGAAAAGAAAGATATCAAAATTGAGTATATCTCAACTGAAGAACAACTGGCGGATATCTTCACAAAACCACTAAGTGAAGCCAAGTTTTCCGATTTGCTTCACAAAATTGGTCTAATTCAATTAGACTAAGTGCGGTACACGTGGCAAACTGCTTTCCACGTCTGTCAAGATATTGGGTAGGCACGTAGCCTTGGGAATAGTCAAAAACCCAATCGCCACCAGCCGCATAAATCACCCAAATCAAACCCAATCGCCACTATTCAAATCTCTGTTTCGTCGTCTTCTTCACGAGAAACTCTCAAGAACCCTAAGATTTTCTGTCTCAAATTTTCACTCAAATTTCTGAGAAACTGAAGGTTGTCGGTGCAAATGTTCATTTCTAGAAGTTGGAAGCCAAATGCTCTTCACCGGCATTCTATCAAAGCTATCTGGAGATGATAGCTGCTCAAGAACTCTCCGAATTTCTTCAAATGAAGATTCGCCTCAAATATGAAGAAGAAGTTCTAGAATTCTACAGAAATGGAGAGGTCAAGACTGTTCATTCAAAGAAGGACCCACAGAGGACAATTCAAGTCATTAAGTCCACTGTTGGAAGGACCAAAGTGAAGCTTTCGCAGAAGAAATTGGGAGAAAAGCTTCACCTTCCCAATTCTGGAGTTGAAATTGGAAAATTTCCAGTCAAAAATCTGGACTGGAACATTATTGGAATTTCTGGCCAAGCTCCCTCTAGCCCAGCGAAGAAAGCAGACCTAAACAACGACTACAAATTAGTTTTGGAGCTGGTCATAAAGTGCCTAGAGTGTGGAAATGGAGGTCATGCTGATGACATCACCCAGGAGAGAGCCTTCATCATCAACGCTCTCATCACCAAATTAAGTTAAACTGGGCTGCCCATTTCTTCAAATCCATCTCAAAACATCTGGGAAAGCACAATCAGAAATACCTTTGTCAAGGTCTGTACATTGGATATATTTTGGAGTCTATGGGTGTTGCTTCTGATGGAAAGAAGTATGAAGAAAGATATTGGTTATACTATCTGTCTTCCAAAGGGGAAAACAGAGCTGCTGCTAGTGCTACTGCAGAGGAAAGCTCTTCAGACAATGTCCCACTCATCAATCTGACGAAGACTGCCAAGAGGAAGCAAGTGGTGTCTCCCTCTCTCAGTATTGAAGCACCACTGAATCTTGCTCTAGTCAATCTGGAAGAAGAAGAAGAAGTATTTGACCAAGGAGAACTTCAAAGGAAGAAAAAGAGGAAAATCATCTCTCCATCAACATCTGGAAATGTCAATCCGGATGAGTTGAAGGAGAAGGAACCTGCTGAGGAAACCTCTGCCCACAACCGGAATCCTCAACAACTTGAAGAAGAAATTCCTCAAGTCCAAAGCCTTCCAACCCCATCACCTCAACCACAAACAGATGATGCTGAAAACCAATTCTGGTAGCTCTACTATAATTGGAGAGCTTGGAAAGTTGGAAATTCAGCAGAGCAACTGTTGGATTGGGACCAACAATTGAAGAATGAGAAGATTATCAAGAAGTGCCTAGGACTACCAGTCAACCATAGCTGTGAAGAAATCTTGGATGACTACTGGGTATGGCAAAGAAACTATGAAGACCTGCATCTGGAACACTTGGCCACCTCACCAGTTTCAGATTTTGAAGTAGATGATGAGGATACTGCAGTCTACAAGCCAGTCTTTTCAAAAGCCACAGAAAATCAGGTGGTTCTCACCACTGAAGCACAGGCTAACTTGGAAGCAACAGCTGAGGATTTCCAAATATTTCCAGAAACCTCACCTGCTTTTGAAACGGTTCTGACTGAAGCTGTCCAGGAGAATGTAGCCTCTCCCCTACAAAAATAGAACCAGAAAACAGCAGCAGAAGAATTTCAGCAACTGATCCAATATCAAATTTTAGAGATTCTCACAACTGCTTGTGAGATCTCCAACCAGCCTGAACTTGAGATCCCGGAGAAGTCAGCAGAAATTCCGGAGCAGTCAGCTTTTCCAGAAACAAATGAAGAAGAACAAGCTGTAGAAGTCCAAAGGAATTCTGCAGAAGCTGAAAAGGAAGTTCAAACGACAGCACTGGAGGCCTCTGAAACTCCAGTGGAAGTCTTTAAAGAACAGAATGAAGCTGAAGAAAGAGACTCCCTCTCTATGCATATATCAAACTTTGTGCTTGATAAAGCAGAAGAAGAGTCTAAGAGAATTGTTGATGAAGAAGATTTGCAAGAAGATGCTGAATCTCTTCCTATGCAAATTGTCCAAAGAACACCATCTTCTCATCAGGTAAACAACTTACTTTTCCATAGCTCTTCCATTCCTACTCTTCCGGATGAGGTACCAGAAATCGGGACAAGGAAAATCCAAGGGTTGATTGAATCAGCCCTAGCATCTCAACATGCCTCCTTTAGGCAAGAGATAGAGCAGATGAAAGCTAGTTACACCAAGCAAATAGAGAAATCTGAAGAGAAACACAGCGCAGATCTCAAGAAAATAAGCAAATCTGAAGAAAAGACTCTAGAGATCATCTCTCTATTGAGTAAAACTGTGAGCAACACGATGGACACATATGCATCTGACAGTTATCTTCAACTCAAGGAGATTAACAAAGTCAAAGAGCAAATAGCAAGCGTCACAGTTGGTCTACAAAAGCAAATGTCCCTTCTCCAAATGGACATCAGATCAGCCCTAGAAGTGTCTTCAGCAAATCAGGTAGTGACCAAAGACTACTTGAAGGTGATCATTGATAATCAGAAGGAAGCATTCAAACTGTTTAGACTTCTTAGCACAAATTCTGGAAATCGCAAGATGGAAGTGATTCTTCAACAACACAGTCCATCCTTGATTCCAGAACTCCCCATTGCAGTCAAAGAAGGAGAAGTCTCTTATATTCCTTCGCATCTGAACATGACTGATCTAATCCTAGAAGCACAGCAAAGTAATCCGGAGAACTCGGCACAGCATCTGTCCAGCTCAGGACTGGATGGAACAGAGGCTATAGGAACAATTGTTGCACACTTCTCAAATGATGTCCAAACAGAGGAAAGACGCAACAATTTAAGGTGCATCAAAGAACTCTGTGGAAACATGCAAGGCATCAGTGAGACTGCCTGATCTTCAAAGGGCAAGAGGAACTGAAGGTTCTTTTCATCAAACCAGGGGGAAAGTATGTGAAAACTTTAATTTGTTTTGATGAAAACACCTTCCTGTTTAAACATTGCTTGATTGGTTTAAACATTGCTTCAATATTTCTCTTAAATTGTGCTTATTATGCTTGATTATGCTATCTCAAGTATGATTTTGAGAATTTTTGGTGAAGCGCATACATTCAGGGGGAATGAAATTCAGGGGGAACTTAACTAGTTTTTGGCTAACAATTGTTTTTGGCAATGAATTATTGATGAGCTCTAAGCATTGGAAGACGGATATCTCAGTTTTAGTAATAAAGTTGGAAATCTCCGATTCAGGTACTTTACAAAAATCTGCCTTCTTAAACTAAGCTTTAATCCTTAATTCATTTCCAACTAGCTCTAAAAGTACTGGTTCTTAGGATTTTTATAATGTACAGGACTTTGGAAAAACAGTACCACTTTTCTTTTAAAAATAAACCTCATATTTGTTTTGGTACTACCTCGTCCTAATTAGAAATTAGAACTATAGGGAATGAAAAATGATAGTTTTATTTTGGGCCTTGAGAACCCAATAGGAATAATTTCCCTTTAGTGCATAGTTTTCTTTTCTTTTTGGGCCACTCTTTTTGGGCTTAGCCAAACTAAAACAGTTACTTTTCTCAAAACCAAACGAAACTGATTTTCTAATTGGAACAGTTTCAATTCTTTGGTAATCTGTAAAAGATTCCTTCAACTTTTCAGAATTCAACTTCTTGGAAGTTGAAACTCTTTTACTCTCACCGTTCCAACTGCCCACTTAATGGAACCCATGAACCTCCCCTCTCTACCTCCTCTCCTATTTAAATCAAGACATTCCAATCCATTTCCATCACAAACAACTCTCTCAATATGAAAAGTCTTCAAGCGCACTGTCTGAGAAAAACACCACGAAAAATATCCTCAATGGAGAACTTTTTCTTTCTCACCCTCATAGACGGCAATGGAGAAAAGCCCAGTGAGAAGAAAAGTAATTTAAAGTTTATGGTGCAATTCTTGGCAGTAGAGAAAGTTTATGATGCAATTCTCGTATTTTTCTGGATTACACCATACACTTTCTCCGGAACAACACTCTCTCTATTTTATTTTATTTTTACCTTGATCTCTTTCCCCTCCCTCTCTTTTCTTTTTCTAGACTTTCTTATTTTTTTTTGGACAGTCTCTGCACCCTTCTCCCAAGCATTTTCTTTAAAATTTTTTGTGCAGAATCTGTTCCCATTTCTCAAACATTTTTTTTACTTTTTCAAATTTTTTATTTTTGCCTTCATCTTTAAAAACCCTTATTTTTTTATCTTTTTCGAAACCAATTTTCTTTTCCAAAACCTTTTCTTTCTTGTCTTTCTACCTTTTCTTTTGTTTTCTTCTTTCGTTTTTTGTTCTTGTTTTTGTTTTTTGAGAGATGTGTTGCTTCCAAGATCTTGAATATCCACTTTGGATATTAAAGATCTATCAAATGCAACGCCAACCGCTCCGGCAAGCAGAATCTGCAGGAGCTGAAAACGGTCAATGGCGGAAGATATCACAAAATCTCAAGACAAGACTTGGTTTAGGAATTATTGTAATTTGAATTGTATTTGCTTAAGAGTTTTTGTTAACAAGCTGTATATTATGAGAAACTAAAAGAAAGTTATAAAATTAGTTCTCAGTACAGCGACCGGAACTCTTAAACACTTGTTTGTCATCATCAAAAAGGGGGAAATTGTTGGGAAAAATATTATAGATTTT